CCTATATATAGATAAGTAAATCGCAAAGTTTATCAAAACTGCAAGTTTCAGTTTCATTATTTAAAAATTGTAACTGTATTTAACTGAAGACTTTTTACATCTAAATTACATTTATTATCGGACTCTATATTTTCTTCAGTTAAGGTTATAGGAAATGTTCAGTTACGATATAAATCAACTTTGTAATTTAGATCTAAATAACTTTGAGTCCTACTTAAATAGGGCCAAATGAAAATCACAACTACATAACTGAATGTAAAATCGCAAAATTTTTTCCCAGATATGAAAAGCTCACGATGGATGATATCAAATCATCTAAGAATCTAATATTACTACAGATTTAAAACATGGAAAAATGCCAACACTTTATACTGTTATTTGGCATCCTTTGAAAGCATTTTGACGAGCTTTCCAAAGATTTGTAGCAAGTGTGGATAGTATGAGAGTCACTAATGATTAAAGGACATGTGGGACAGGGTAATTCGCTAACACTCTGTCACATGGTCACTTCGGGTAATTTTTGACATAATTTCCCGTTTTCAAGATATAACCGATAGGGTTTTTAAATTATCAATTACCCTATCCAGTTCTACTAAATAGAAGGCTTTGTGGAAATTAATTACAAATGGTAGTATTAAAGATTAGTTATACTCGCCAGATTTTTCTATTACAGACTTCATTGTTTTAAAGGAATGCAGAGTTTGGTTTATTTGTCACGATTAGAAAACAATATGGAATTGATAATTCTCTATTGTAGTAGTAGAAAAAATTGGTTATGATTGTTTAGCTGTATTCTAATTTGTATTCTATTGTTTGTAACACTTTTAGTTATAATGTAAATAGGCATCAGATTGTTGCTATGCAAACTGAATACGATTTTTTAAACACAAAATAAGACATATCTTCTGTATTTATGGAATTTTGATTAGTTTATTATATAAGTGATTAGTTACTAATTAAAATCCAAATAAATATGTACTACAAAGTTATAAAAGACTGTGATACAAATGGAGATCGAATACACTGGATTTGAGTTTAAGTAGGATTTTCAAGTTTTTTAATGGTAGTTTTTCTCCAAATAATGTTATCCAAAAGGGGCGGCTCGTTACCAAAATTTTGGGGGTTCACAGTAGCAGAATATAGATCCCGGTACAGATATAGGTAAAAAACTGTCAGTATTTTAGAAAGGTATATTATAAACTTTCTAAAACACTGAAAGTTTTTTCATACATCTGTACTTATACCTATATTCTGTCACTGTGAACCACCGCACGAGCCGCCACAGTATCCAAATAATGTTATCCCTTTGATCTCTTTGTCGGTTGTAAGCAGATAGGGTTAGATTTAACTACAAATAAAAATAAAATGTTATTTTTTCAATGCAAACAATAACGGTTAAATATCAATAAAACAACAGTAACATACTAAAAGAAAAATTTATTAAAAATAACACTTTAATAAACTTTAATTTTCTTGTGGTTCTAGTTTTTCTATTACGCTTTGCATATCTTCTGCTTTATTGTTATTATCTTCATTTAAATGTGCAATCTTTAATTTATAATCGTCATCAATTAGGAGTTAATTATTAATCCTTTTTTGTCAGTCTTTTTTGATACTAGTATATATTTATTCTTTAATTAAACCTTCTTGTCGAATTTTGTAAATATATTCATATATTTTTTTGCGTTTCTTCTTTACTCACAACTTTTTTTTCTTCTAAACTACACTATCACAATGACATTTAAATTGAAAATTAAATTAATTTAAACTGAAAATTACAGAAACTTTTTGAATGTAAAAAACTGGATGGACCATAAACTTTTAACTATTAATCTAGATAATACTAATTACTTAGCTATAAGTCCTAGTGCTTGTGATTATCCATCCTTCAATCTTGAAATCCCTTTGAAAGGAAGGAAACTTATGTAATTAAGGCTGCAAAAACAGTAAAATATGTAGAGTTACGATCGACTCAAATCTTAAATGGACAGATATAAAATAATTTTAAAAAAAGTACTTCTTTTATATAAACTTAGATTTTTAAAAATAGTAGTTTGTGCAACAAGAGTGGATATGGACAATCCACTCGAATTGTACAGTACAGTATAACGAAAACCTACCTACAAATTTTTAAAACAATTTTAGGTTATTAAGAAAAAATAACTAATTTTAAAACAATTTATGACTTACTAATTTATAAAATTTTAAAATATAGATTTCATTTAATTAGTCCCCAGCCCATATTTGAACCCGGGTCTCTCGCATGGAAGCCAAACACCGTGTTCTCAGTGTTCTCACCACCATCGCCACACTTAGAATTTTAGTTTTAATACTAGTTTGATTAAAATTTAAGAATTAGTTGTAAATGTGGTCGAAATAAAAATAGAAATGCTATTATTTATCGATTCTACATAATAATAACTCATTTTTACGTAAGTATATTTAATCTCAATAAATAAAAAATATAGGTACTGGTAATTAGTTTGACAGAATTATCACTTATACAGGGTGGCTCACGCTCAACGGGACGGAGCTTTATGGGAAAACGACCAAAGATATAAAAAATTCGTTTGGGAGGAATACGTAGGTTACAGACGGCTACAATTTAAAATTTGTTAGATGAATATAGGATGTCCCACATAAGAAAACAAAATTAGTTCATTAAAAATTATTCAAACAAGAGTAAACAATTAATTTCTGGGAGACTTTTTTTCCTTAAAAATTCAAATAAATCGAAAACTAATAATAATAGTAATAGGGAACCTTTAGTTAACTGACATTATTTTTGATGTAGTTTTTAATTCTAAAATAAAAAACAGGGTGTTCCATTAAAAATAATATAACTTTGTATATTTTCTCTTATGTGGGACATCCTGTATACATCTAACAAATTTTAAATTATAGCCGTCTGTAACCTACGTATTCCTCCCAAACGAATTTTTTATATCTTTGGTCGTTTTCCCATAAAGCTCCGTCCCGTTGAGCGTGAGCCACCCTGTATAAAACTTTAAAAAATAATAGTATCCGGGTGACCAAAATATGAACTGTGAGTGGTTGATTTAATTTTTTTGCAGTTTTCTTACTAGGTAGAATGGATATGAAATATATTCGTTCGGTTGAACACGATGGCATACTTTTTCGTTTTTTAGTATGTGCTAATGTCCATGTGGGTGTAGAAAAAAAATATTACCTCTTACAGCTACTTGTTTCTTTATTATGCCCTCGTTGAAAACCACTTCCGCTATGGATTAACTTGCTGGGGAGCAGTCACAAAATCATTTTTGATATTTTTTTTATGTATCAAATATTATTGTTCAATATCGATCAATCTTAACGATAGTAGACAAATTGCTAATTCTCCATATATAATTATTAACACAAATGTCTGTCGAAGCGGGTAATACTAGAACAAAGTGAAGACAATCGAAATACCGAACTGGCAACAGCATTAAAAAGGAAGTGGACAATTAAAAATAATTGCAATAGCATTGTTTTTTTTTTTGTTGGTAGACTGGAGGTGCATTGAGTACTTGAAAGTTCAGATACATTTGCGATACGATAACTTTATTGGCTTTAAAGAGATAAAAGTACTTACCAGAATGTTGATTAAAGGTCAGCAGTTGCAAAAAAAAAATGCATGTATCTGTATATATTTAATTAAGTTCTAAGTGCTCTTGGACCCTATTATTCTGTAGACGTCAAACCTCAGGCTCATCTTTACAGATACAGAGATAAGGACTGTGTACCCCGAACTCCTCCATTGTGGTTTTAAAGCTCCAATACATAAAACCATAATTGAATTTTAACGTAATAACCCATAATTATTAAAAAGCGCTAAAATTGATTATATTTTTTTTTGTAACTTTCAAATTCGTTAATATTCCTTAGTTATCCAGTTTTTAAAAGAAAAACTATAAAATTAACCTCCTTTTTAGGGTTCCGTACCCGAAGGGTAATCAATGGGATTCTATTACTAAGCCTCGACTGTTCGTCCGTCCGTCTGTCTGTCAACGGGCTATATCTCATGATCCGTAATAGGTAGACAGTTGAAATTTTCACAGAATGTGTTTCTGTTGCGACTATCACAAATAATAAAAATAGATTAAAGAGGGCTCCCCTACTAGGAAAGTTTTTTTTTGCTTTTTTTGTTCGATTTTAATAAACTCCTTAAAAAGTATCTACATAGTACTAAATATTGTACGATGGTTCGGAACCCTTAATGCGAGACTCCGACTCGCACTTGGCCGGTTTTCATTTCAAAAGGAATCGGAAACTAACCTGACACGAATACTTGCATGGTCTTTCGAGCGGCTAGTACAATATTAGTACCAGAAGCATTTGGTATTACAAGAGTACTACCAAAGGAATTGTTTTTAACTCTGGATGATAATGCGTAAAACATTCAAGCACTGAAGATTATATCCTTTAAGGACCCAGTACCTACTGTACTCAAAAATGGCTATTTTTACGATATAGCTAAATAACGTTTTGTTATTATATATTTGATTCGTTGTATGATCTGGAATTATTGTAACGATTGTTTAATTTAAAAATAGTTTATTTATAATGTTCTAATTAATTTATTTATTACTCACATTTCTAATTTATTTATTACAATTTATCTTTACTATACAACACTTATATTGAATATTAACGTCTACCGAAAAAGTCGCGCTATTTATATATAGCCAGCTCTGCTCCAGTAGATTCTCGGCGATCTAGAATATCTGGGAATTCTTCCTCTGTGAGTCAGCCAGCGCGCAACGCTTTCTCTGGTAACATCTCGAAGGAGTGCGTTTATCTCTGTCCTGCGGTATCGCATCATAGACGAAGCGGCTTGCAACGCCGAGAGAACCAGAGTCGGCTCTAGTTGGTTATAAGACATTATTGTTGTAAATATTAGATTAAAATTAATAGTTTTAAATTAAAACATTGGAAACTTCCAAACATTCGTTCAATTTTTATTTTATGAACATTTAATATATTTATTTAAAATTCAGATACGCTATTGGATTATTGCCCCTTTTCTCCTTTCGTGTGATTTTCTTCATTATCCTGTAAGTATTTTTTTCATAAAAAAATTAATTTAAATAGTTTAAGCGTCATAGTGAGTGAAATAAATCAACCACAGAATAGTGATACAGGCACAGTTTTATTATTGGCATACAAGTACGTTTGCGATGGCCTCTCCAAAATGAAATATTAAAAATTTTGACAGACATCTTTATCACAATAGACCAAAATACCACACGCGTTGTAAAAAAACAATTGAATGACTGCTTGTTTAATTTACAAACAAAATTAAATTAAATCAAAATCTTTCTGTTCTACGTAGTAACACAGTCTTGTAAACAGGAACAAAGTTGGAGATACAGTTATTCTATTTTGTATTGCGAATTACATACATTTTTTTCAGCCATAGTTGGTTCTATACAATGGCGTGCGCTTAACTTGTTATATAATATAGGTGCCTGATTAAATTTAATTAAAAAACAAAAAATCAGTCATGGAAATAAACTACTGGACGTCATTACTATTCAATATGACGCCATTGCCGGTTTTTTAAATGGCACCACCCTTTTTTGATAGCACTTTTTTTCATAGATAAAAAATGTTTAGTCATTGTTACGAATGCTAAATAAGGTTTTGAAATAATTGTTTTCTCGAAAATATTGTTAATACAAAATGTTGGGCCCATACGTCCAAAATTGTGCTTTTTTAGAATTGACCTGAGTATCTAATAATAAATAGTGTTACATCATATCTCGAATAGTAATGACGTCATAAAAATGTACTTTTACAGTATCGGCTATTGAACGCTTTCCAATACGCTTTCCAATAACATCAACGTAGCCAGTTGTGTACCTATTCGCATCGAACAGCGCACACAGGTACGTCTTTTAACATGTTCAGTAGCCGACATTGTATAAAAAAATCAAACCAAAATCGACCTGCCCGACCATTTTTTGTTTTTTGTCCAATTAAGTCAGAAAATTATGCCCCACCCAAAATAACAAAAATTTGTATAAAACAAACTCTTAATCGCATTCATTCTATACATTGTTTTATCACTGGGAGTACTGGGACTTGTGTTTAAAACTAGTTTTTGACTAAAATTGGCTTTAGGACCCCTAGGGAAGAAAACAAATGAATCCGAGATTGACGATCTGAATACTCAAAAGGAATGAATTGAAGCAGAATGGAAATAACTAGAAGACAGAAACAATATATTCACAAAACAGGGAATGGGTGGCTCAATAGTTAAAGTCAGGAGTTTCGCATTCAAGGGTCCCGGGTTCGAAACCCGCTGGTGACGGAATTTTATTTAATTAACATTCACTCTTGGGTTCTAATTATCAGTGCTGTTCATAAAGTGGCGCTGGGAAACCGTACCAAAGCCTACCATATAACACGAACTAAATATTGTTTGAATTGAATTATTTGACTCTGGAAGGGTGTAGATACGAAAGTTGGTCTTTCTTTGGAGAGCTGTGACAAGAAAAATTCTAAAATATGAATATTTTTAGAATAAAATTAAAATTATTAAAAATTTGCTGAAAAAAGGAATAGAAGTGTAGAATTCGTTTTATAAAGAAAATACTATTATTTTTAGTACATAACCTACAGTGCAAACGTAATGTGTTACTTACACCTTTCTGACTTCTGTAGGTAAAATATTCGAGAAAATGCTCGGACAGGTCGATTTTTATTTCTGTTGAAACATATTTCTACAATATAAAATAATGTGAATTAAGTGTAATTGTTTGTTTCCGGGCTGTTATGGTCTTTCTTGGTTATTACTACCAAACGTTTCAGCTGCAACTGCGACAGTGGCAGCCATCCTCAATGGCGTGGACAAAGTACTCTTCTCGACGTATCAACTGAAACTGAAACAGTTTCTCGAATACAGACCATTTTAGGAAAATTATGAATGGGACAAAAATTATAGAGGTTAATATTGCAAGCAACTTTTATTTAAAGAATTTTCTTCTTCAAGCGTAAATAACATATATATTGAAATGAAATAACAAAAGTAAATTCTAATTTGGGACGAACTGTACACTGTGACAATTAGTACAGTAACTTTGTAAGTAAAAAGAAACATTAGCTGTCATAAGTGATAAAAAAAAATTAAATAATGATTAAACAATAAAGGTTCACTTAAAAAAAATCACTAAAAAGTAAACATAATTAAAAAAAAAATCACATTGCAATGACCACAAAAAGTATCTCAATAACATAAAAAAAAACATATACGAACCTACCTTTACTTTTTTCTTTTTTTTGGATGATTGGTATCCAAGGGGTAACTAAGGGGTTGTTGATTTTGAGATGGAGTTTTTGACAAACGTTTGAGATTTTTTTTGAAATTAAAATTGGAATTCTTGATATATTTTAAGCAGTTACAACCTAAAAATAATAAAATATTCTTTCAAATTTTATTATGTACATCCTGGGTGAGTAAAAAAATTACCTATCGTTAACTAGAAGGAGCAAATTGTGTATCGAACTCCGGTCACCGAGCAGACAGACGATTCTGTGGGAATCAGCCATTTCGTCCATGTTGAGAAGGAGTATATTTCCAATTCCTGGAATCAAAATAACTTTAACTAGGAAAGAACTGAGGTTTTAGTGAGTAAAATAATTTAAACAAGTTGATTAAAAACGATATTGCAAGCTACTTACTTTTAAAAGTTTTTTTGAACTGTTTATTAATTGACTTTCGGTTTTTAAACACAATAAACATTTTGTTACGTTCTGTATTCTGCATTGGTGTAAATAATTTTTTTAAGTTTAGGTTAGATGTATAGAGCTCTTTACAAATATTTTAAGAAGGGTAATTACAGAAAGCTAGTTTTAATTTTACTTAAGTAAGCACAGCATACTGTAATATCCTGCAATAGATGGCGTGTCCGCCATTTTCTATCCACAAAATTAATTATGAATAATTTTTTTGTTCCTATTTATATCTAAATGTTGAAATGATTTGGTTTATAAATAAAATGAAACTAATATTTTTGTAAAAGGAATATTTTATTGATTAATTGGGAAAATAATACTCTAATCGAGAAAGGTAACTTAACATGAAAAATAATTTCATATTAACAAGGAATAGCGCCAGAATCCAAGACCCATGAGGATAAGAGTAATAGTAACAATAACAGAAATTAATAAAGGTAAATTCGTATAACTAATGATATGGTTGAGTAATAATTATTGAGTAAAAAATTATCAAGTTAAACATAAAATAAATCACACTATAATCATCAATATAAACTAAAATCTGGACTATCAAACGCATATCCATATCAATATATATTCCATAAAGTAGCAAAACGATCTACTGTTAACTCTACTGTTAAGAAGTACCTACTTCCTACCCAGATCTTCTGACTCTGTCCAAAATCTAATCAGCTCACCGCAGGTGGTACTTTATTTATCAAATACTCAAAATGTTATTCATTGACGCCATTACCTTCTTGACAGAAAATTAGTAGTTTGTGCAACAAGAGTGGATATATCGCACGAAAATGAAATTTGAGTACGACGCCGTAGTCGGAGTGCTTAATTGTCTAAATGCGATGTGGAAAATCCTCGCGAATTGTACAGTATATTTATTCTACGACCTACTAGCGAATATCTACAAATCTTAAAAATTAATTTGGGTATTAAGATAAACTAACTACGGATTGCAATCCGGCTTTATTTTCAATCCGGCCGGATTCTACCGGATTGATCTATCCAGGATGACCCAACTTTCCTTGTTCATTCCAAAATGGACTGTTAATGAAGTCTTTAAAAACGATACGTATAGAAAAAGAGAAAACAATTAAATTCTCAGTGTCAAAACAAACAAAATCACAAATTAAAAGTCAGAACAATTTATCTTTAACGTAACGTAGGTAACTGGTGGATCAATATTCTTAGTTAGATTTTAAAGTTAAAGTAGATATTAATGTTATTAATCAAAATTATAAAATTAAACATAACCTAATAAATAACCTTAACTGGAGATCACAATAATATCAATAATAGGTATTTGAGAATGCTATTCAGTTTTATTCTTATAAAGGGTAGCTCAGAAATATTAATGATGTCCTAACTGCAAATTTAATTAAATATTGGTAAAGAAAGTTTGAGAGTACTGGAAATTAAATTTGCACTTGGAATAATCTTTCATTCTTGCTATGATGGTATAATAATTTCTGTACAAACGACGTACAAGAATATAAGAATCATTGTTTTTATAAAACACACGATTATAAAAAGCACGTTGCAGTGTTGCCAGAATATGTGTTTGTTATGTAACAGATTTGTCTAAAAAATGTACCAGATTCCATAAAAATGTACCAGATTCTATAAAATGTACCATATTTTTCAAATAATGAAGTGGTTTGGTTCATTTAAGAGCAAAAAAACCTTTGTAGAGAACGAACACAAACAAGGAAGACCCCAACAATATATTTTACACGTCAAATGGAAACAACTGAAAAAAAGAAAAGTACTAGGTTTTGCTTCGAGTGTACTAGAGTACCAGATTCTTAGAGAATGTACTAACTAGATCTAGTACAATTGTACTAGACTGACAACACTGATCTAAAACTTAATACTGTCGACCACCGTTTGCCAACTGCCTTCTTACTCGGGAATGTGCATATTGCGCCAGCGAACGGATTAATAAACGAAAATATTTCTGAGACACCCTCTATATAACAGAATACCGAATCTGTCTAATGAGTAGCACAACAATCACAATAATTATTCTTTATAATATTGTAACTCTTTAGTTTTTAAACAAATAATAAACTTTTGGCTTGAAAAAACGATCTTAGGAAACAAATTGTGTTGATTGTGTCATCTACACTTGTCGGGTTAATTGTCAGCAAATAATCATCAATAGCAGAAAGTCTTCAATTCTAGATTTAAACCCCTGACCTTTCTGCAAATATAGACGAGTATCTTGTGAAATGTCATTATTGATCGCTTCTTCACAAAAATCACTCATTTTTAATTATATTTAGGGTATAATCTGATATTAACCATTCTACTAACCGCA